AGCTGACTTTGGTGCCACTTGCTTACAGAACAGGTCTGTTGGCAGTAAATGTATAATGACGTTTAGAGCCTGGCTTGGCGTTGTTCTAAGTGCTTTCCATTATTGGCCACCAAATCAATATACCGTATGTCCTGATTGGTCTGACAACTGTTGTATAAAGCCAATAAGTTACCCGAGGCGTAAGCCCCCATTTGGGGCCCACCATCCTTTTACAGGTGTAGAGTGCTGTGGCTGCCTTCTTGACCCTAGCATCCAAATTTTGTTTCCATGAAAGCTTCCTGTCTAAGATTAGTCCCTGGTAGCTTGCCTTATCTCCAATTGTTAGTCTGCAACCATTTATTATTGGCGCCGTAACTTCTGGAGCATTATGTTTTCTGGTGAAAAATACAAGCTCTGTCTTACCAGCATTTAACTTTAATCCGCACGATACTGCCCAGCGATTTATATCGTCCAAGATCGTTTGCATAAGGTTTGCGAGAGTATTCGGGAATTTGCCTCTGACCGATACTGCCACCACAGAGCTTAGTGCTGTTTCTGTGGATTTTCCTTTGAAATACGCATGCGGCGAACCAGCCAACTTTTCTGGTTTCAGTTTGTTTCTTATATGTAATTCTATTAGTCTTTCCAGAATTTTTAGAAGGAATGAGGAGAGGCTAATTGGCCTGAAGTCCTTTGGACTTGTATGCGAGCTTTTGCCTGCCTTTGGTATGTATATTACCTTGACTTCCCTCCAAAGCGAAGTGATATAGTTTAATTGCAGTGCCCCCTTAAGAATGGCAATTAGCCAATTCATTATGTAATTCTGCGACAGCTGCAATTGAGCCGGAAATAGACCGTCTGATCCCGGCGACTTGAAGGGCTTAAAGCTGTTTATTGCCCAGCGTACGTTGCTTTCTGACACTATGTTTATAAGAGTGGGGTCCATTTCTGCTCCACTGTCTTGAGAGCTGCCTGGGAAGTGGGTATCCATTAGTAGCCCCAAGGACTCTTCACTGGATACCGTCCAACTTCGGTCTGGCTTCTGAAGATAACCGATACTATGCACTGGTTGTGCCATTATTCTCCTAAGTCGAGACGCTTCCGCCGTGTTCTCGATATCAGGGGGGCCTTATTCTACCCCTGCTTCGTGTTATTGGACAAGCCACTTCTAGTGCTTGCCGGCACGATTCCGTGAGTCGACTAACGAGGATATCTAGATCCTCCTTGCTATTGGGCTGAAACGGTAGAATCATAGAGATACGTTTCTCCAGCTCTTGCATGTGCACCTGCCAGTTCGTTTTCCTATGATTCCTAAAGTTAATGCCTCTATCGGCCCTTTTCTCTATTGTACATTCAATATATCGGTGATCCAAAAAGGAATGTTCTTCGAGAACCCTCCATTGGGTTACCCTATCAATTAGTTCTTCCGACACAAGTGTTATATCCAGTACTTCTTGTCGGTTTCTTGTAATAAATGTTGGCGTGCTTCCCTTATTACACACCAGTAACTTAGTACCTAGTAGGTAATTAAAGAGACACTCACCTCTGTCATTGACATCTGTGCTGCCCCAGATTGTGTGATGAGCATTGGAGTCGCATCCAAGTATTGTCATGCACTTGGATGCCTCGCTATCCCGTACCACCTCTTTTACCACCAGAGGTGGCACCAGCTCTTGCTCGTATGGCATATAGCACGACACTAGCCTGTAACTGCTTGTGCCCGTTTCCCAGCTTACTGCTGCTGTGTCGTTGTTGCTTTAACTATGTAATATAAAAACATTAAGGTTTTTCTTTGCCATTATGCAGGCTCTGATTTTACCTTCACAGTCACCCATCAGCAACTTATAGTTCGGCGTCCTCAGTCCGCAAATACGCCCTCCATTAACCCATGGCTCCTGAATGAGGACAAATTCAGGCTGTTCCATTGCCATGCGGTTAATTAGGGATGCTGAAGCTAGTTTGCTATGATGGAGATTAATTTGTAGAAGACGCATTAACTATTGTTATATCTGCGTCTTCCTGAGAGTCGCTTAAAAGCTCTTTCTCAGTATACAAGCTGGAAAGTCTGGCCGCAAGCTCAGACCCGGAAGAAGGACACTCACCTTGCTCCATATTTTCCGCGTCGCTCGAGTACTCCATAGGATCTTCCTCTACTTCGCATATCTCTTTCCCCGATGCCAGATGGTCTGCAGCATCGGCGTCCGACTTGTAAGGCGTTATCCTCACTTTCGTGAACCCGTAATTTATCTCCCCGCCACTTTTCGTCAGCGGTTCGATGGATTCTTTCGTTAATAACAGCAGAATCTGCATCGTGGCCCTTTTGGTTTCCACGCCAGATTCTGCTACGCTGTCCTCAAATGTCTTGACATACTTCCACCCTTCCGTGGGTAGGTTGCAGGCTCTTATGAGCTGCATAATCTGGTCCGGCTGTGATGGTGTAGCCGGGATCCATACCCTTGCCCTTGGTCTGGATGGTATGTCCTTCTACCAATTTTGCGCCGGGGTATACCTCTCCCACCTTGGCTATAGCAGCTTTGTAGAGACCGACCGATCTCTCGTCGTCGCAAGCAATCATTTTGATCTGGCCCTGGTACCAGCCGGCATCTGCGCATGACGGTGGCGGACCCGGATTGCTTAATAGCACTTCCAGCGCCACATTTGTCAGCGCAGCCTGCACCCATTTCAATTGGGCTCTGGGGATTCTTCCTTCGGGATCTCCCTCATCCAGAACGCCAATGACAATTCGGTTCCGTGCCACTTCTGCAAATGATTTTTCGGACGTTACACCCATGGTCTTCGGCCTCTTGGCTGACGGCTTTGCCTCTTCAGCTGACCTTTGTCGCTTGGCTGCCTTTACCGGCGGCTCCAACTTGAAGTTGGGTATGACTGCTCTCGCACAGTCAATCGATGCTTGAAGCTGAGATCCGGGCTTTCTCCGATTTTTGTTTTTCATTCTGTGTTGTGTTTGTTTATTCTGGTTCATTGGTGGTCCCACGAGTGTGGGGGAAAGTATGTCCGCTTGCGCATAGCCCCCGTTGCGCAAGTAAGGCTATCTTATTACAGAGGGTGCCAGGTATCCGTAAGCTCCGTTCGAGACTGGGCTATTTAAGGGCCCCCAGCCAGGTTGATCCTCGGCACGGGTCGCATGACACCTTAATCCAGCCCTTTTGATTTCACCTATGTTAAAGGAATAATTCTCAACACATTTTATTAATTTAACTCAAACATATATATCTATATTTGTTTAGAAAGTCAATCAGGATAATGGAAATTAATACATTAGTTATATTGGGGCTGAGGGACCAAACAAGATATAAGGATCTTCACATTCAGACAATGAGAAATTAAGTGAAATTAGATATTAACCACATCCACTCTGCACAGTTATATTAAAAACTATTCATATGGCGATAACTAACTAAATTAACTAAGGATTTAATTAAGGATAAGCAATAAGCAATGAAGTTATCGAAATATATTTTTGGTATGCCATCTGATGTCCAAAAATTGTTCAAATCGGACCACAGCTGTTCAAGTCCCATCTACCGAATATGTGGAACCCTGTACCAGGGCTGACTTTGTATCAAAGTATATGTCAATCCATGAGATCTATTAATGAAATATATACCAAAATAAGGTAAAATCTGGTCAAAATTTCTCCTAACCCATATACCGCACCCACATACCAAATATAAAGATTTTCGAACTGCTGGTTGTTTTATACCGCATATAGAGGTCATTATGTAAGTTACTTAATGGATCGTTATTATTGCTGACTCCATACCGAATATATCATTCTAAAAATTAGGTGAAAACATCTTTTCGAGTGTACTTGAGCAATGTCAAAATTTAATGCGATCAGTAAAGACTTCCGCCTAGCCGCAATCAAACTTAATCCTCTTTGTATAAATCAAAATGTATGAAATGTTAATGAAATTAAGTGGAAACGTTTTCCTAAATATAATGTCGTTAAACCCTGAATTTTAATGGTAGCTTGGTCTGAACTAGTTATCCTTAATATAATGATTTCCGATTCTCTGATTGACCTTTCCCTGGTATACGGTGTACGGTATACCACAATACTCAATATAGTCCTTCTGGGGTTAAATATTTCTCATTTCTGTAAAATAGGTTGATTTTAATATAAATGTTTCAGTCTCTTTCTGTGCATTCCCATTTACTGGTATTGATGCGACATCAACACTACCAAATATTATAATTTTGTAATGCGTCCTGTATTATTGATGCAACATTACTATTGCTGTAACATTTGAAGAAGTTTAAGGGTAGCTAATTTTCGGCGACCATGTACCCGAGGACACTTATGTGGATCAACTCGTCCCTTTCTCCAGTATCTTCTATAGTTGTATCACTGAACTCTTTATTAAGTCTATTAATTACCTCCTTGCATATTCTTGAATAGTGCGACTTCATGTTGGTACAACACACAGCTTTCATTACTGATTGACCTATAATTCTAAACATATTTTCCGATAAAACAGAGACACACTTTCCGTCTTCTGTTAAACTCATAAGTGTAAGTAGTAGTCATTGAATTTAAAGCAACCTTCATAGTGATTGCATTCATGAATATGTGGATTATACCGTCGTTCCTATCGCTCTTTGCTGAAGATGGGATGCACAGAATTCTCATTTCTGATCATCTGTCAGCCCTCTCCTAACTGTTAGCACTACCTCTAATTCACTTGAATATTGTTTGAAGGGATGTTAAGGATAACTAAAAGTCCTTCGTAAATGGACATCTCATAGTAGCTTCTCGCCTCTTGAAGCGGTTTAACTCTACACTTCCACCATATTAATGCGTCGTATGGTTCTGTAGCACGAGCAAGAGAACTTGTGCCGTCTTAAGACGTGACACCAATTTGGGACAATGACTTTGACAGTATTTTCAAATATGATGAATAATAGAAGCCTTACATTCAATATGTTCTCTTCCGCATAGTTTTTCTTACAGAACAACACGGTGATATTTTATAACCCTGAAGAATGCTCTAGTTGTATACCTTAAACAAAATTTATTAACATATGGCATCGGTAGTTTTTTTAATCACCACACAATTTTTTGTTATAACGACTTTATATGTACGTATGTATGTATGTACATTCACCGGTTTATGACTAAATTATAAAAATCACATTAGCACGGTTCTTACTTAAAGCTCAACAACTAAGGTAATAGAATTAACTAAACTAAGGGTGAGGTATGAGGGTGGGGATGGAATACGAGCGTAACATAGCGCATCCATGATCAGCAGAAATGCAAACTGTTGAATTTTTCACGGTCGTTGCGCACCATATTATTATATTTCCATTTATCCTCTGACGGCGATTTATGGCTGCCCCAATTATTGGAAGTACTCGAGCTGTTCGATGACCGTTGTTCCATCGCATATTTGGTAGCTTCGGCATGTGGCTTACCATTCGTCGCATTAGAGTTTCCTTGATCTGTTGGCGAAATGTGACGTTCCATGCGCTCGGCGTAAACCATTTTGAAGGATGAGAGTGAACGTAAGAGGGTATCTTCTGTATTGTCCAGGAATTGTCAAATAACCAAATGTATAAAGTCTACTGAAGTTTTGCTTGACTGCTCACGTTATCCAAGTAGCCCTAATACGTGTTCACGGTACGTGCTGGATTTGTGTTAGAACTTTAAGTTCTAAATTGTTGCCGGTATTGCCGGTGCGTGAGCCTTTGCAAACAGCGAGGTTTTTGGACAAGCTGCAAGCATAGTGAAAGTGCATAGCATTGGTGATTCGACTATTAGGGATGGAAAAAAAATTAGTTTGTAATACTTACTGCAAGGTCTTCAGTAGCTTCAGCTTGGAATCGTTGGGCGAGGGTCTCAGCATTGACACCAATCGGTCTGACAAACTGTCATCTGTTTAATATGTTATTGAGTGCAGCGACACTATTTTTCCCGTTAGCAACGTGTGCAGATGTATTTGCGCAGAAGCGAATGCCTGTAATGATTTTTTGATTTGCTATCTAATCGTTGTACAAAGACTATTGCTGCTCTCTGTCGCCTTTCTCAGTGGCGCTGTGACACCTTACTATAGCGCTCACGTGCATTACAAGGCCTTAAATATTTTCGCCGTGTTGCAGAAAGCTGAAAATGCCAGCTTCCAGACAACTGCAGCGCCAGCGCAGTTCTAAAGTCATTGAGCGGCAAGCTGCCAGCCGGGCAATGTATTGTAGTACAGTATCCCCTGGATAATTGCTCTTCAAAAATTGCACAATTTTTGATTGAATTAACTGGGGAATCAATTAACCGATACACGTTTCATTAAACAATTCGTTCAATTACAGGAATCCCGCTTAATTGGACAACCTAATCAATTTAAAGAAAAATCATATGTGAAATTTGGATATTTACAGTCGACGTCCACAAATATGAAATATATAATGTAAGACCGTCAGTTTAGTCGCCACGAAATATTTTCCTTTTGTATTGAAATAAGAAACCATGGAATGTATGCAAAAAAAGGGTCTTCTTTTATTTTCATATAAAAAAAAACCAAAAGTACATATATACATAATTGTATGTGTTCAATCGTGTTAACGTAAATCTGTATATTTAGTCACTAAGTTTGTATATAAAAAAATTAAAATGCATTTGATGTTGAACAAAAGTAGTAAATTTGTGTAGAACATCAGTTTGCCAGAAATTCCGCCATTAAAAGCTGATGATTTTTTTATCTGCAACCTCTTTTGCATAGCCTCTTCTCGTAGACTTCTCAGTAAAAGCGTTTTGGAACTGTCAATATTATTCTCAACAGCCCGCTGTATACATTTACGAAAACATTGAATTGCCTTCTTTAAAAATTCTGTTCTAGCATTTTTTTAATGATTCTTTGGATATTTTCTTCCATGACATTATTTGGTTTGTTTGAAGTAGGTTTTTGGTAGGTAGGTCATTGACATTAAACTGCTGCGGGAATGCAGTTTTAAATACATTACTAACTCATGGCAGGCCGGTGGCTTCGGGCGTTATCCAACAACAAAGGGGCCTTCATGATGGTACATAGTTCTCTCTCGAATGGACATATGTATGTTTTGTCTGGTAGCATTTTCCAATAAAGGCCGGACTCATCGGCATTAAACACTGCTTCACTTAAGAGATTATGTTTTTTTACGACACTCGAAAGTTCTTTAATGAGTTTTCTACAAGTTCTTTTGACGAGGATAATTTTTCACCAGATTCCTTCAGCAGCCTGAATCCGCATCTCTTTTAAAATTCGAAACACGAATGGAAAAGAATCCGATCCAGACAGCAAAGCCTATTGCTATCGCCAAAAATATTATTTGCAGATTGAACAAAGAGCATGATAAATAAAACAAATCAAAAGAACACAGCCTACTGAAAGAAAAGAGTGTTAAGTGTGTAAAATACTTCGTTCGTATTAACATATTGGACATTCACAAGAAAAACTTTCATACTTGTATTACTGGACGTCGACTGTATTTAGTTCCTAGAAATGATATTTAGATATTTAAAAATAATATTAGTATATAACAATACTTCAAACGGAAAAAATATAAGGAACAAAAAGTGATCATAGTTATAGAAAAAATAAATTTAAGGAACAAAAACAATTTATAACATTGTGTATGTATACGCAGCAATTACATTTACATATTTAGTCATCGTTACTCACATTTTTAAATTGTTCAATCTACGTGAAATAACATCCCTAATTCACACAAAAACTTGTCTTCTGAATAAAAATATGTTTGAAGTTCTTGTATGTACTTTAAAACTTCGAGAACTGAAAGAGGCTTTGGAGGATCATTTTCTATTTCTTGCAATTACCTTGGGAAATTAAAGGTATACATATTAACCGGGTTCAATTAAGCGCGAAATTTTACACGTATTTTCTATGCAATACTTGTATATTTTTTACCGATCAGGTGATACAAATAAGCGTGAAAATCAATTGACCGAGAGTCAATTAAGCGGGGGATTACTATATTTTGATGTTATTGTATACGACGCGTCTCAATTTTTCCGTTGAATCAGCAAATGCAAATCAGCCACTCGACTGGTTTCGCTGTGTACTCAGCGCGATTTGCGGTGGGCGGTCGGCGGCCGGGAACAGAGCATTCCGCAGCCAAGAGATACTCTCTAGATGGTTCGACAAAATAACCTGCTGTCGCTACTGCTGCTGCTGCCAACCAGCCAACAAACCAAGCAGAGTGCGCGTCATTAGCCAACGACAAGCAATGCAGGTGGATAATTAATACAAATACAACAAAAAGCAGTTGTTTCCTGCAAGGTTGGTCTCAGGCGCTGACAGTATGCGAGGCCTAGTTTTTTAGAAACTGAATTAAAATTAATTTAATTTTTTTCAGAAAATTCAAAATTATTACTTAGTTTTTCTGCTTAACTTCAATTAAAAAATATTGTATATTTTAATACTAAATGTAATATTAATATTTCGAAAACAAAATTTTAAATTTTTACCGAAATTTTGTAGCTAACGCCAGGTATTTTTCATCTGAGCAAGTATGTATGGTAAACTACCAGTATTTCGGATAGCTGCTGCATTACTTTATTATTGCTCAGCCGCTTGTGATGAAAGTTACCAGTCGCATTGCATCAGCCATTTTCTGACCAATGAATTACCACAAGTATGATGAACATATACAAACAGAAATACATACCTACACGAACACTGCATACATATTATATATAGAATCAAAATCACACCTTTAAGCGTGTGAGTTATGCAAAAATTGGTCAAAATACAATACCCAGGAGGGAGGCGTGTGGTCAAACATCATAATCAGACCGTTTTATATAAAGTATAACTGTTGCTAATATATATGTATGTATGTACATTGTAGATATTTCTGTCTGCACTTTTAATAATACGTCATATTGAGGAATTTTGACTTACACACATACAGATATTCTATATAAATTCCGACGTGACAAAAACACCATGGCGCAAAGTATATAAAGACAGACACCCGAGCCCAGCTTTTATGCAAACATTTACTGACAGCTTGCACATCTACCGCTCAACTTTCGCGCAAAATTTAATAAAAACATAGTCAACATTCAAATTCCAAAAATAAAAGAAAAAAAAGAAAAATTTCAAAAAAAGGCTCAAGGTAAATTCTGCTAATATTATTACCTAATAATAACATGGCACTTTCAAATAAATTTAACTAACCTTTAAAAATACTAACTAGGCATCAAAAAATAATTCGTAACCCGAATAATTTTTTGTCAGCACTAAATATACCGTTATTAATTCCTTATTTTCACTTGATCAGTTTTATTATGCATTTTGTGAAGTTGCTTGCTTTACTCCAAAGATTCTTACAATCGTCTGAAGCAATCGAAACCTTAACTAAAAACAAATATTACTTTTGTCCGTCAAATTATTTTTTGTTTCACTGGAAAATTTGTAATTTACCGAGTTGAGCTCTTTTCGTACTTCACACAGTATTTTGTTTTTAAATAATAGCTGAAAGCAGTACCTTTTTATAAAGTTATTCATGTTCCTTTCGTAATACAGAGATAAAGAATACAAGAATGAAAGAAATGAAAGAAAGATTGATTGATCTCCATAACGCCACAAAATGTTATTTCTTCATAAAGATGTTTTGTTCACATCTTCTTTTTCCAAAAATGTGGATAACACAGATTATCATATTTATTCATATTATTCGAAAATTGGATGAAATTTAGTTTAAAAATACTTTTATTCATGTTTTAGAATAACTTGTTTTAATAATCAATGTATGCCAACAATTGCACCTTTATTTGATGTTTGACAGAGAATTTTGTTCTGCCTTATCAAATTTTTCAAATGTTGCTCTTTAGGAGGCTGGTAGACCCCTCCTTTTTAAGCGGGTTTAATTTCATCATTGAAGCCAGACAATAATTAGCTAATGGATTTGAATGTTCCCGGAATTTAAGTTCGTATTTCTTTCTGATGTCCTTTGTATTATGTCAATGTTGGTTGCAAAGTATTGGAATACAAGTTTATTTTATATAAATGAATTATTTTCTGCAAAAGGCAAAGTTCCAAATCTTCTTCTGAAAGCTTTCTTTATTTTTAAGAAAATTCACACTTATTTACAGGGACTCAAAATATATTTATTTCCTACTCTTTTAAGTAATGAATATGAGTTGATTTTCTATCCAAGTGATCACTTCCAAAATATTGTTATAATACTTGTAAGGCTGTTTTCTTCACATAAAAAGGAAAAAAGGGTATAATAGACTTCTTTGTTCTTTCTTTAGTTAGAAAAAAACTAATTTATAGTGTTCTACATACTACTGTGATCAAAAAGGTGATTATCGTGGTGTGGTACACTACACTACCACTGGGCCAGTCGGCCAACAAAGAATATTATTTGAGCGTTATGCGTCGTTTGCTTCAAGATATTCGTCAGAAACGGACGGAATTATAGGCGTTCAAATGGTTACTTCATCACGATAATGCAACATGCCATACTGCACTGCTTCTTCGTGACTTTTTTTCCAAATTCATATCGATTGAGCAGATAAAAACGGAATAGAAGATGGTCTTGAAGCTTATACCGCAAAAAGACTATTCCGACTGTGTCGAAGACTGGAAAAAGCGTGGGCAAAAGTGCGTTTTATAGGACGGGGATTGCTTTTAAGGGGATGAGATTAATTTGTAAGCATAAATAAAGAATTTATATTTTTAAACAAATTCGCCATTATTTTTATAGTATATATAGTAGCAGTTTTACCGCAAAAATAAAAGATGTGTATTTTAAGATGGCAAAGGAAAGGTTTTGAATTTCGACGACAAAACTTTTTACAGAAGAGCAAATACTAATCATACACATATTTAACCGCAGTTAGGATTTAGGCACAAGACCAATCGTGTGGTTAACGCGCACATAAACCACTCGACAACGGCTTTCATCGACTGAATTGCTACATTTATAATATATTCATTATAATTAGGCCCTGTTAAAACGAGCCTTTAAACAAAAGCGAAAAGATCACGTGTTTGAGTACGTCATATCAACAACTATATTAGCGTAAATATATTCCGAACTAATGTTTTAAAAATAGTAAAAAACAAGCAATTAAATTTATGATGGGAAAATTATATTACAAAACCACTGAACTTCTTATTTAAGTCGTGTTCGTGACGTGTAGTTTATTTTTCAACGCACAAAACGCTTTGCAATAAACAACACACTTGAAAAATGGGCAAAGTAATGATTAAGACGACAAGACTCACCTAAATTAGAAACAAACAGTCGATATTAAACTCATCTAAGCCTCATTTACCTAAAATTGCCGAACCAACCAAACATTATAGCTATATAGGAAACCCCCAACACGCGCATAGAGCAGACATGATGTAAAAAACCTACCAACCCGATTGAGACGAATCGTCTTCGTATCTGCAATTCGTTGAGTTTCACACGTAACCACTTCGTAATTTATGCAAAACGAGAGTTCAAGGAAAATAAATAAACAAAACTAGTTGACAAGAGCTGGCGTACTTTTAATTATCTATATATTTGTTTAGAGAAAAAAAACACGCCTTGAGCACATGCCAGAGGCCGTTGTATAAATCCGCCAGCTCACCCATGACTCCAAACAGTTCGTTGAACAAAGTCAAAGCGTTAGGATCGTTTAAAACCGTACGCGTCTAAAAAGAAAAAATCAAATCAGCAGACCAACCCAAAGTAACAAAATACATGTTAGCATTGGAAATTTTTCGAAACCGATGTCAATTAAACTTGTGTGTCAATGAATAACCGCGCAGATACCAAAGCGAAGCTACTTAACAACCTAAGGTAAGTTTGAGACCCACTTGCTTAAATGATTTCTTGTATTTCGTACTGCTAAATGTCTCACTTTCTTTCCTTTACAGTCTTTCTAAACATTTATCATCCAAACAAGGCGGCTCACGTACCACCAATTGCGGTAATTGTCTAGAATTTGCGTTGCTAACGCTGCTACAGAACGTTCCTTGAATCGAACGCCATCTAACACTTCCCCATAGACTGAGCAATAAGTTCTTCGACTAAGCTCTACAATTGCTTCTGTTAATAACCAACCCGGCTCATACGTTAACACGTCGTTAGTTTTTCTAGTACTTCGTTTTTTAAGTGAAAAGAAAATTTAGTAAACCACAACAAAAAAATGGTCCAAAAACATCGTTCAGTTTCTAAAGCCACCCTCGCCAAGGATTTGAGCCCGATGCGCAACATGACAATTAACAAGCAGGCCCTCGCCTCGAGTCCCGCCAACGGCATGGCGCTGAGCTTCGGTGGCCGCTTATGTGTGCCCTCGGCAACATCGAGTAGCTGCAACAACGCCGACAAATGGAAATACAACAACATGGTGAACAATCAACGCGAACAATTCAACAGTTTGCACTTCTGCTAAGCTGCAGGCAGTGGCCACCGATAGCGGGCGTCCAAAGTTCTAGTTAGAAATTTTTGAAAATGTTACTCGCTAAAGCAGCAAGATCGGCGTACATGTTTAGACGCAAAAGGCTTACAAACACACACATTTATATATAAATATATATATATATATTAATATATATATGTAATATGTATGTAATATATATGTATATATATGACATACACACATGTTAAATACCATCCAAGTTGTTTCTTAGCATTCCAATAAATTATATATTTTAGAGTTAAACATTAGAAATGTGTATAATCGTATGTGTAGGACCTGTTGTGATTTCACTGGCTGTCATTGAATAACATAAACTGTTATTGACGGCGAGTTTATTTGCATTGCAAATTAAGTGGAAAAATAACAGAAACAGCTAGCAAGCAGCTAGCAACTACGTTTAGTTTGGCGAAAGTCTAGCAGCGAATTGGCAAAATGTTCTGTAGTAAAGAGGCTGTGGGGAAGGTTTTAATTTACTAAAATGCCACTGTATATAGAGCATATAGCAATTACCACATGGACTGAAATGTCTTTGGCCCATAGATGAAAGAACGCTTTTTTCAATGAGAATGGTTTTGCTCTTCGGCATAAACTCCTTGTAAAGTAAATGCATTTGCTATAACGGTCTTTTAACATTTAGTTAACAGTTCGATGGTGTGGAGCTTCGAGCCTACAAAATAGCCGATTTTTCTATCTTGACCCCCTCATGCGTGTGAAATATTTTTTCAGCGATCCACATCTTCATTCTAGCAAAGATTATATAGACGCTGGAGGCCAAATCCGGACAATACGGTGGTTGGTGGGCGGTCTCATAACCTAAATCCTTCAATTTATCGGTCTTATCCCAAGCGTTATCTTTGTAAAAAAGTCTATTTGGATATATGTGGAAGATTAGCTTCGCTCCATCCCGATTGAATAAACTAAAAAGTTGTTCATGATTTCCGTCGTTAATCCCAAAACATTTTTCTTCATTAAGCTAATGTCTAATAACTTAAAATCGGAATAACCGCAGCCACATACCTACTGTATGTCTTAGCACAGTCGCGTGCATACCAAAGACAACACCGTCACGTGTCGTATATTATGCGTATCTGCAATGCAGATTTTTGTACCGTTATACTTTTTCTTTTTTATGGAGAAAGCCAATCCAGCACGCGATTTCGCTTCTCCACCAAAATGGCTGAAGTCATCACAAAGCGCACGCACGCTTGCAAAGTGCAAGCAAATAGCACAATAACAATTATACATACCTTATACGTACACATTCGGGGAGTGTATGTGTCTGTGCATGCAGAAATTTCACATATAAATTTTCGTTTGTTGTAATTTTTTTCAACTGCCACGAACCTTTGCCAAATTAAATTATTACATTGTACGCATATTGTTGTAATTGTTGTTGTGGATTTTATTTTGCAAATCCGCAAAATGGCGAACGACGCTCATATTTCATTGTTATTCGGTGTTATTGATGTCACATTTTGCATTGTGCTGAAGCCACAAATTGTAAGCAGATTATAAAAGCCGCACATACATGCCCACATACAAATATTGGCATGTATAATACATATGTACATGGGCAGAAATATACACATTCCTATATATTATATGCATAAGCATTAGTATATGCACATAGGCACAGTGCAATGATTCGTACAGTTTTCCACCTTCCGCAAGCTTCTCTTTATGATTATTTACCTGTATATACACATTCATGAATACTTACATATATATAAATTATTTTGGGATTAAACCAAAAGTCACATTTATTCATATTACAATAAATTGAATTTGGTTTTACACTAAACACGCACATAAAATTTAATATCTCTGACTTGTTTAGTGCTTGGTTTATCGCGCTCTTAGTATTTTTTAACAGTACCGTTATATGGGGAGTGGGCGGAGTTGCCACTCAACTCGTATCTTCATCCTTAACATTTATATATATATGTAACCCTATATCTAACTCGATTAGTTTAAGGTAATCCAAACAACCGTTAGGTGAACAAAACTATTATACTCTGTAACAAGAAGTTGCGAGAGTATCAAAATAGTTTTATAGTCAGCAGGTTGGAGAAGTGTTCCCTCCATAAACTCAGTATTCTCTGGGCATCGGTGACCAGACTACCTTCTATAAGTCGCCGCATCTTTTCGTAGAATTTACTAGGATTACCCCCGTATGCCAGCTTCACAAGCTGTTCGTACTCACGCAATTCTTTCTATTTCTTTTTTCGTCTGCAAATGCGTCTCGCTTACCACTTCAGTTCTCGGATTTATCCCATCCCGCACGTGTTGTTCTTCATCGTAACGATGCGTGGTAGGTAGTCTACAGTAGAGAACCTTGCCGAAATCTAATTGTAGAAAACTGCTCGACTGCCTGTTGTGATTGCAGCTTTTCGGTGTCGAACTCCCCTTGTGTTTGTTGGCAAACGTTCTTCGTTGCACAGAGGCATATCTTCGTACGCACGTTTTTAATACTGGAGATGACCGTCTTTCACAACATGATCGATATGGTTGCGCGATTGTCGATCCAGAGACAGCCAAGACGGATTTTCTTACAACGGAATCTGGTGCTACAGACAACCATTTTTCCGTCCTCGGCGAAGTCGATCAGCCTCAGCCCATTTGGGAATGTTTCGTTATGGAGACTAAATTTTCCAACTGTTTTACCGAAAACGCATGTTTCTCCACCTTAGTGAAACCGCTAAGCACGATTTTACATCATGGTAGGGGCAGCGCTTATAGGCGAGAGAGTCTCTCTTCCATCACAAATCCAACACACAATTTGTGCTCCTTTATATGGTCCGTTTTTTTGTGGTGGGTCCGGAAACGGAGGTGTCTTGGCTGTTCACTCCTAGGTATATGATAGTCAAAGACTTCCCTGACTTAACTGAACTTCTATATAAGGCCTCATCCTCCCGTAGTTACTTAAATAGGCTCGACAAAATTTTGTTGTTATGCTCTTGCAACATGTTGTAACAGACTATAATAGTTTTGTTCAACTAACGACTAGTTTTGTTCAGACGGTTAGTATTGGATGGACGTAATCGGACAACTGCCACGCCTACAAAACGCCATTAACCGAAAATCAATAAACTGCCATAACAAAGCTCCATAATAAAATACAAAACTGTTATTTGGTACAACGAATCGCATTAGGGAGGAACATCTTCAATTTGAAAAAAAAAATTTAAGTGGGCGTGGAACCGCCCTATAAAAGGTTTAATGTGCATATCTTCTCACACACTGAAGCTATTATACCAAATTTACTCAAAGCAAATATTTTTAGCCCTTCTATCGACGGTGTGGAAATGGGTGGTATCGGGCGATAGCTCCGCCAATTCACCATAAACGGTTTTGATGAAATCTACTAAAAGTACGATAACTCATGAAATAAATAAGCGAAAGAAATTAAATTTTACACATATGATGGTACATTTGATGATTTCTTCACTTTCCGGTATACAAATCAGGAAGCAATTAGTATAACGGAATAAAACTTTGCACGAATAGTGCCTTTAAAGGATAAAATTGGATCAAAATTTGGCTTAGCCCCAATATAACTAACATCAGGATTTTCGAACATCCAGCTGACTTTACTCAATATGATTGCTGATGGTATGTGAGGTACCTGAATGAAACCCTGGAAGCATTTTATTAGTTGTGGCATGTTAATAGTATGTGGTATTGGTTAAAATAGATAAAATCGGGTCAACATTACCCTCAACTCCCATATACTGCATATAATGATTTTCATTTTTCTAACAAATTTTATGCCAAATATGTAGTTCAATGCTCCCAATATATCCCATATAATGACTTCCGTCTTTCCACCTGTCTTCAAACCGTTCAGGTTGGTCAAAATAAGATATTTTAATGAAATTATATGGACAAGTTTTCTTAAAAAGTATGTGGTTTGGCGCTCAATTAGAATATGTACCCTGGACTTGTTATATTTATAACCAAATCTAACTTATGTACCGGTATGTACAAATAATTTACACTACAACGTACGGGTACAGCATCTGCTATTTACAATTACAACACTACCTTTACCGGTCAATTAATTTCCTTACGTGATTATACTTGCCCAACAAAGCACGATAATATAATGAATATTAGTTTGTTTTGATTATATGCAAATTTTTGGATGTCAGTTCAACAACAAGGGAGGTCTGGCGAACACGAATAAACCAGTTATTATGCATATTCGTTTAAAGTCGTACGGGTTACCGGCTCAGTTGAAATCAAGTGGTTCCAAATTTGCAATTATGAATAGATAATGGTTTTTTGGTATGTATGTAGATATAATATTATATATTATTGTTATATATGTACAAACAAACATATTTGGTCATTGAAATAGTATCATATATATGTATGTATGCTGAGGTATGCTCTATCATTATAGTATTTACGAAAGTAATCTTAATGTAATTCATACTAAACCCTTTAGGGTTGAATTGAAATAAATATGGAAAATAGTTAAATTGGCCGAAACCAGCAGAGCCCTCGTGTTAGAAATAAGTTATTTTAAATCTGTATTTTCCGATTTACAACAATATATTGAGAAGGAAACGTATTTATATACAAACTTATGTAAATAGACAATTTGATTTTTCCAATAAAATCTTAGACACTTTTTATAAAAATGGTTATTTTACAGGTAAATAAGGTGAAGGTGATTCTTTACAAAGTAGTCTAACAGTGTTGGTTTCACGCGCAATTGATATTGACGTCAAGAACCAAAATGTGGCGGAGCATTTACCTATGACGGTAATGTTGGGCCCATCTTCAATTTTAACAAGAAAAACATTAACTCCCATCCATCCCCATTTTTCAATTTTGAACTCTTGTATCATCTCGGGTCTCATATCATCATCTGCATTTTCATATGTCTCTAGCGTATTTATTTATAGATTTAACGCATTTTTAGTAGTTTTTAACCAATATATGGGGTATGGGCGGGGTTATCATCCGATTTCACTTACTTTACACTATCGTAAGAAGGTTGAACACATTTGTCCTGTGCAAATTTGGATAATATGGCTTTATTGGTCGGAAAGATATACTTGTATACATTAAACTTATTAAGGGCTTATTTTTTTAAAGATTTTTGAACCACAGATTAATTTTTACTGAAGTTAAAACTTCTACGTGCTTTTTTTTTTGGTTTTTGCTATAAAAAATCGAAATTTAGGGAATTTTTGATTGATAGTTCATTCTATGCGTTTACATATGCTGAGGGTGCCCT